GGTGGGATGACGAGCTGACAGAAGAAATAGGGGAACGTAGAGAAGTCTTCAAGCAGTACCTGAGTGAGGGGTCTGAGGAGAGTTGGGAAAAGTACAGGGCCAAAAGGAAACAGGTGAAGGGACTAGTGAAAAAGAAGAAAAAGTGCATTTGGGACGAAGTAGTGCAGAAGGCCAACGGAGGCCTGGAGGGGAACGTCAAGCAGATGTGGGAAGGGATTAGTGGGATGGTAAAAAAGACCGCGCAAGGGGGGGATACAGGGGTAGCAACTTTGCGAGGTGTGAACGGTGGACTCGTCAGCAGTGGGAAGGGAAGAAGGGAAGTTCTAGCAGGACACTAGAAGAGACTTGGAGTGCCTTCGGAGAATGAAGATTTTGACCAAGTGTTTAAGAAGGAGGTGGACGCATGGGCCCAGAAAGAAGAAGAGACATCGAAGGCAGACGTTGGGAACGTAGAACTTGAAAAGGAGTTCACTGAGGACGAGGTTGAGGCGTGTGTGAACAAGCTGCAGTGCCACAAAGCAGCAGGGGCGGATGGGATAGTCAACGAGTTCATGAAGTTTGGGGGGAAGGGGATGATCGAGCTGATGGTACTGCTGTACAACTGGGTGTGGAAAAACGAGTATGCGCCAAGTAGATGGAGGGAAGGAGTGGTTGTGAACTTGTTTAAGAAAGGAGACAAGACTGACCCAGGAAACTACAGGGGTATCACACTGTTGAACACAGTAGGAAAAATGTTTCGTAAGTTACTGAACGATAGGATAGTGGGAGTACTGGAGAAGGAACGTAGCACTAGTGAGGGCCAGGCAGGTTTCCGACAGAAGAGGGGGTGCGTAGACCACGCATTCATGGTAGGGAGAATCATCCAAGGTAGAAAGAGGGCGGGAAAGCCGACGTACTGCTTCTTCCTGGACGTGAAAAAGGCATACGATACCGTATGGAGAAATGGGATGTGGAAACAATTGTCCAAGTACGGGATCAAGGGGGAAATGTGGAGAGTGCTGAAGAAGATGACAGAGTGTACGAAAAGCGCGGTCATGCTAGACGGAGAACTGTCTAAGTTCTTCGACATTGAGCAGGGGGTCCCACAAGGTTGCACGCTGTCCCCAACATTGTTCCAGGTGTTCATCAACGATCTGTTGGTGAAGTCGTAGAGGCAGTCCGGAAGGGAGTAAAAGTAGGGGACACGGAAACTTCGGTGTCAAGAATGCTGTTTGCGGATGATTTTGTTGGTAAGTCGGACACCCCTGAGGGACTGCAACTACAAACTGACGCGGCGAAGAAGTTTACTGATAAATGGAGATTGTCTGCCAATGTTAAGAAGAGTGCCGTCATGGTATGCAACGAGGACAGGGAGGAACCAGTAGAACATAGATGGAAGTGGGGGATGGAGGAGATTGCAGTAGTGGACCAGTACACATACCTCGGAGTAGAGATCGTAAACGACTGCTCGTGGAATGCACACATGTCCAAGGTAGCGGAGAAGGGCAAAGCACGAGCAGGAAAGCTGCACCCAATACTCGCAAACCGGCACCTCGATACACGCATCAAATTGGCGGTTTTGAAGAGCGTAATCGTACCGCCGCTAGAGTACGCTGGAGAAGTATGGGAAGGAAATAAGAAGGTAGTGAAAGAACTCGAGGCGGCGCAGATGAAAGCAGCGAAAATCATCCTAGGATGCTCCAAGCGCACAAGTAATGCAGCCGTCAGGGCAGAATTGGGGATCCAATCCCTACGGTCGGGAAGAGACGCAAGGAAGCTGACATGTGGCAGCATCGCATGTGCGGGATGGGAGAGGAGAGGTTGCCGAGAATAGTATGGGAGGCGAAGTGGGCAACCAAAAAGAGGGGTAGACAACCCACGGAATGGGTCAAGGTTGTAGAGGACGTATGGAAAGGGTTAGACATCGACGAAGATGAAACGCTGGAAACGGAGGGTCTACAGGGGTTCAAGGATAAGATATATGTTACTTGTGCCGAGAGAGAAGAACATAATCTAAGGAAAGAAACCAAGGATAAGGAGGGTCTAGAAGTGTACGGAATGTTGAAAGAAGGAATAGGGTTCAAGGATTACCTACATGGACCAATGGATGCAGGGACAAAGCCTAACGTCAAATTCAGGACCGGGGACATAGGCCTTCGAGAACGTCGACGAAGACATAGGACGGTAGACGACGAAGAAGACAAGTTCAAATGTGATTCGGCTTCGAATGCGAAGACCGTGTTCATGTACTCGCGGAATGTCCGTGGTA